ATGACGCGTTTATTGCAATTTTCTTTTAGATGCACACACTAAAAAATGTAAATACATTGAATGAAAACAACGGCAGCGTGCAACATGTGACTACTCTACATGACCCTGTAATTACAAAAGGTTTGAATTAAAGAGAGCAAAAAAAATAGCGTATGATTCAATGCATGCAAATAGGTCGTTGTAACCCTAAATACGTAAAAACTCCTGGGCCTTGCCATGGACTCTTCGTATTCTGCAATGGTCCTACATATTTGCAATGTTAGAAATGTGCTGACAAGCCCCTTTTCGCCTCTACATCTTTATAAAAACCTTAACATCATCATGATACCATTCATCCATGGTCTAAACCTCACAGATTATGCGTGAAACCAAAAATGATGCCCCATTAGCTTTCATGTTCTGCAAAGTGTGAAGCACTATTTCAGCTATTGCTAATGGTACCCAAGGGTGATGTTATAGCGTGACATTCCTTTCCACAAATGTGTGAGGTCTAACCTCTAATTTTCCTCACAGCGGTCTACACGTTTCGTTTCAGTTCTGGCAGTTTACTGGTAACAGGGCTCGAAATTCCGTGTGCACATGCAGTCTCATGCACACAGATGGTAGCTGTACAAGCATTTTTCAACCGTGAATGTACCGGTGCAGTCATATTTCTAAGTAGGTTTCGTAATTAAAGGCACTATAATGATCTAACAAAGTGCGTGTTTGTAGCATATTTTCCCAAAATATTTGAAACAAAACTAAATAAATTGTTATAAAATATATACAGATTTTTATATTTAGCTACAGATTCCATAAAAGCAGCAAGGTTTGTTATAAGGTTTTGTTGGCATTATGATCTATCTTATTCTTTTACCCATTCAACTTTTTCAGTCTTAGTTATTACGCAAAATTCTAAATTCTTGCACCATGTGAAGTTCTAAAGATGGATTTCGAGCTTCGTGTTACCATGCATCACCAAGTCATGCTTTTGAGGATGTTTCTCGTGTCAATGTTATTCCCTGGTGTTGCCATTACAGAAGGCGGATTTTCCACGAGGCCCATAAACTCCTGCTGATTGATGTGCATTTTCATATTCTACATGTCACAGGTCCTGTCGACCGTTACGTAGGGGAGGTTATGAATACATCTACATGTAAGCCTACTAGATACGCTTCGTTGCATTCTCAAGGTAAACCAAAGAGAATTTTATAATTTGATACCATTGCTATCATGCCTTATAATAACACTATATTTTTTTCAAATCTGAGGGGGAGGAAAAAATACAATCAAAATTGATCTCTTTTTTATGCCATTTATGCAAATATAATAAAGGCAATTACTTATTTGTAAGTACTTCTCTCTCACACACACTCTCTGCTCTATATATGTGTTCGTGTATGTCTGTGCAATGTTGACCACTATTGAAGGTAGCGATCTAATATGTACTAATGCACATCAATGTATATTAAAAATATTGACTGAAACATCCTCCAATAACAATATAAAGGTAGATGCCACAAAGATTTTACGCTTATTCCTTAAATACCCGAGGGATTGTCTATCGCAATTGCTCTTGCAGCAGAGGGCTAAATAAAAATAACCGATTGATAAACCGGTTAGTGATTGCAAAGTTGATCAATATTTGGAGAATCCTCTCAACGAGAAAGCTATTATAACGTCAAACCCATTAGTATTACAGCAAGGCTGAGTCAAAATCTTTTTTTTTTCATACATGCAATGGTGCTATCTTACGTGTCAGCTGAAAATTGCCTTAACCATTTTTACCTGCAATACTCAGAACGTCGAAATTACGCATGATATTAACTGTTCAGAAACCATCGTCATTATTCCGTACACAATTCAAAGGCGATGGCATTCAACTCAGCTAATTAAAAAATACACAAACACGTACATCTATATACATGTATACATGTATGAAATACCTGCACATCTCCAATTTTACCTGCACTAACCTGCATATACCCAGTACATGGACCAGTGCAGGTTAGGTGCAGGTAGACATCAGAAATATCTGCACAGTTCCAATTTTACCTGCACTAACCTGCATATACCCAGTACATGGACCAGTGCAGGTTAGGTGCAGGTAGACATCAGAAATACCTGCACAGTTCCAATTTTACCTGCACTAACCTGCATATACCCAGTACATGGACCAGTACAGGTTAGGTGCAGGTAGACATCAGAAATATCTGCACAGCTCTAACTTTACCCGTTCTTTAGTGCATATGCACCCAGCATTTTGAGCCCTGCAAGTTGTAACACCCAACCCTCTGTGCATCACATCCACTTGTGTGACA